TTCTGGGAGTTGAAGTCCACTCATCTTAAAGTGGCCAAGTTTGGACAACATTGGTTTAGAGGAACAGTTGTGCTGTGAAAAACACTGGATGGGGGAGAGGCAATTGTAGAAGAGCTTTTCCCAGAAAATGAGGTTTTAGACAGCTGGTAAAAATTATATTGTGATAAATATCAGCCTTTGATTTTACAGGGTATCCCTGTTTTTTTTGTTTTTTTTTTGTAATTAAAAAATATAACAGGTAACAAAGCTAAGCAGATTTTGCACTCCCTGAGACTGTCCTGGGACAGTGTTGGAATAAGAGGGAAAACACTTTTGTCACACAGTTACAGCCAAGAATGACTGCAGCCTCATTCATGGGCTGGGATGAAACGAAGGCAACATCATGGGGATGCAGCAAGAAAAAGTAGAAAAAAGCCTGAGTTTCATCTCACACGCTGGATCACAGCCACACCATTCTCCCTTCTTACCTCTTTGAACCTTCTCTTGCATACCTTTGGCTTCTCAAATCCCATTCAGCAGGCTGCTGCCAACAGAAGGAATTGCACTTTGAATGTGGTATCTCCAACTCACTGTTATTGTTTTATAATGCAATTGGCTAGAGTCCAACAAACTGATGGGATAACAAGTAATATATATGAATGAATGAATGAATGAACGAACGAATGAACGAATGAATGAACAAATGACCAACCAACCAACCAACCAGTTTTAGGGTGTTGTATGAACAGTCAAGGGGCAGGAACAGGGTATTTGAGAGAATGGCCATTTTTCAAGAGAAAAGAGGGGTAGAACTGGAGGAGAGGTGGTCATAGTCTGAAATAAGGATCGGATCTGTAAGGGAGGACATAACCCCCTATTTTGTTCTCCCCTTGGTAAATGTTCTATCTTGAAAAGACCAGAAAAGCCACCTATCTTTTTTTAGTGCCCCCCCTCCAAACTTTTAGGCTAGCTAAAGGGACGCTGAGATATATCACCAGAAAGAGGAACCGTATTTCAACTGTAATTTGATTTTATTTCATGATATACTTTATTCCATAGGCTTCCCTACCTTGGAAGGCAGGACAGCAAAATTGTACTACATACATAAATGCAACAATTTCATGTAAGGTCCAGGTGCAAGGTGTTTCTTTCCCTGATTTGGAAAGGCACCAAGATGCTGTCGTATCCAACAATAAGGGGAAATGGGGGAGCTCTCTAACTGGACCCCGGGCCTTCTGATCAGGCCAGTTTTACTCTGAAATTCCATCACCAGGACATTCAGGAGAAAAGCAAAGCTGAAGAGTTTTAAGAAATATAGGGAGGGTAGCCAGAGGGAGACCAAATACCCAAAAGGAATCCAACCGGTAGATCCTGAATGATCATCTTCTCCAAGCTGTGCTTCTGGATTCATTGACTCTGCTGGCTGGAGATTATGAGAGTGTAAATTCAACACAGTTTGAGGCCACCAGTTTGAGGCACACTGTGAAACTGTACTTTGGTCCAAATATCCAGCCATTCATGGAGTTCGTGCATTCAAGACCCAGGCAACTAGAGATAGAAACAAGGAGTCAGTCTTGGTTCTCCAAATTGGGGGTGGTTAGGGGATCAAGAAGGAGCTGGCTTCAGGCTAAGCAAGATATACTGGCTTGGATGGATGAGATCCCTGATGAAGGACAGCAGAACAAGCTGGGTGGCAGAAAAATAGGAATATCTGCCAGATAGGAGAAACCAGCTACTTGGATTCAGAGGTGAAAAGGAAATGGCTTTGAAGGACTCCTCCTTTGATTGACCACCCCAAAACCAATGAACCACTGAAGGTCAGGTTGGCTGAGATTGCATAAGTGCATCATACACTATGGAAAAAATAATAATGCTGGCCAAGGTGGATGGAAGGAGAAGAAGAGGTGGACAACCAAGGAAGTTGATAGATGGAGTACTAGAAGCCACAGAAACGCACCTGCAAGAATTGCATGATGTGATGAGAAACAGGACAGCATGGAGAGCTGTTATTTAGAGTCTCCATGAGTCAGCTATGACTTGATGGAACCTAAAAATATAAAATGCTAAGCAAAAATGCAGTTAGATACTTTGGGGCTCATATCTTGTGCAAGTGGGAGAGTAGGTTGTACAAATTCAGTCAAGAGTGCAAGAAGGACATGTTCTTGATGATCATCTACTGCAGACCGTGGCATCTTCTGCTTGTGAAGCAGGAATGTGTCCTAAAGGATGACCTCATGGAAGGGGTTCATTTCCTCATTTAAGCTTCCTTACCATCATCATCTTCCTCAAGGAGGGTGTTCATATGACAGGGTTTCTCATGTTAGCATACTATCAAAATGTAGCTCCTTGTTCACTGTGCATGAAGTCAGGTTCCAGAATGCCTTAGTCCATTATCCACAGGAAGCAAGATCAGCATTTTGCTTGCCTGTGCTAAATGGAAGCCAACCACAGAATTGTGAAGTTGGAAGGGACCAGAAGGGCCAGCTAGTCCAACCCTCTGGATTGTGCAGAAAAATAAATTAAACCATCCATGAGGGGTGGCTGTCCAGCCGCTTCTTTAAAACTTCCACAGATGGAAAACCCAGAGTCTCTATGGGTTGACTAGTCCACTGTTGGAAAGATCTTACCATCGGGAGGTTCTTCTCAGATTTAAATGAAATCTAGGTGCATGACCATCTTTCCTTTATGAACACCTGTCATGTATCCCCCCAGCTCCTTGGTGATCCTCTTGGTTTCCTTTTGCTTAATTTTGGGGAAGGACAAGTTACCTTTTCTCTGTCCTCAGAGAAGCTGCTCATCTTCTGCAGATCATGGTTATTCTGTCAAGCCACCTCTCCAGGAAGGTCTCTGAAGAAGACTCATGACCTGCATTCTCCACAATTTCAGAGGCCACCAAGCAAATGTTCGAAGGCTTTGTTTCCACAGCCACAAGATTCAGCACTAAGAGTGGAGGAAAGAGGAGGAGGACGAGAAGAAGAACTATACTACCAACCATGTCCATGAAGAAGGAGCATTCTTCCTCTATTAAAATACTACCTCTATTCGCCAACACCTAGAAAGGTCCTGGCACCTAACTGACCTCAACGGATCTCAACAGAAGCAGAATCAGATCAGAAAATCCCAGGATTGTCATCTAAGTTGACATATCAAAAATAAAGTCCCTTGAGATCTATATGGCTCCCACCTAATGATATCCAAAAAGAAATCAGAAAAAAATCCACAAAGTGACAATGGTGAACCTCTTTCCTGTTATTTTTTACTCACCAGTAGCAATGGCGTTGACAGTTGATTTGTGGTTGGTCTCCTGCGCAATGATTTCTGGAAAAGAAACACCCAGGACATTGCTGGCCACAAAGGCCTGTCACTCTGTGAATCCAACCCAAGTTTATAAAATGAAGGTAGACAGCAAACCAAAGCACATTTGCTTATCCAGGGCTACATTGGAAGCCAAATCAGGGACAGATCTCTCTTAGAGATCCCAGAATTTGGTGGCCCATCAGTTTTAACAACACTGCGCTCAAGGGCATCCCTGGAAGGGTGGGGGAATGTTATTGCACAATGCACATTGTTTGCACCATGACATCATAATGCATGCAACATCACTTTGACATCATCATGGCTTCCACCGGACACCTTTGACTCAACGGAGCAACCGCTGGCCAAGAAGCTTCCTGGGTTTAGCTCAGCTGGTGCTCTAATGCCACAGACCAGAATCCCCTTGCCCTGATGAATCAGCTGATTCCAGAAAGCCAATCAGATGCCAGTGTCTGCTATATCGGATTCCCTTCTTGCCTCAATCTGGGATAGTTCTCACCTGGGGGTAGCCCTGAAGTTAGGCCTGGCTTGGCAGCAGTTTTGAGTTATCCCCCCAATGTCCTACTGCCACAGCTGGGGGAAAAAACAGTGGCTTGAAATGTCTGCCCAAAACTCAGAGTCACAGATCATCAGACAAATTCAGCCAAGAGATTTGCTTTCAGTCCTAGGGCTACCCTGTCTAATCCAGTATTTGTCAAT